GAGTAGCTGGGATTACAGGCACGCGCCACCATGCCCAGCTAATTTTTTTGTATTTTTAGTAGAGACGGGGTTTCACCAGTTGACCAGGATGGTCTCGATCTCTTGACCTCGTGATCCACCCACCTCAGCCTCCCAAAGTGCTGGGATTACAGACTTGAGCCACCGCGCCCGGCCAACCCCCAGCTAATTTTTATATTTTCAGTAGAGATGGGGTTTCACCATGTTGGGTCAGGCTGATCTCAAACTCCTGACCTCAAGTGATGTACCTGCCTCAGCCTCCCAAAGCGCTGAGATTACAGGTGTGAGCCACTGTGCCCAGCAAGACTTTATTTTTTTTTGAGATGGAGTTTTGCTCTTTTGTCCAGCCTGGAGTGCAGAGGCACGATCTCGGCTCAGTGGCACCTCTGCCTCCCAGGCTCAAGCAGTCTTCCTGCCTCAGCCTCCCAAGTAGCTGGGACCACAGGTGTGTGCCACTGCACCTGGCTAATTTTTGTATTTCTAATAGAAATGGGATTTTGCTGGCCCGGTGTGGTGGCTCATGCCTGTAATGCCAGCACTTTGGGAGGCTGAGGCAAGGGGATCACGAGGTCAGGAGATAGAGACCATTCTGGCCAACATGGTGAAACTCTGTCTCTACTAAAAATACAAAAATTAGCCGGGCACAGTGGCTTGCGCCTGTAATCCCAGCACTTTGGGAGGTTGAGGCAGGCGGATCACCTGAGTTCAGGAGTTCGAGACCAGCCTGACCAATAGGATGAAACTCCGTCTTTACTAAAAATACAAAACCTAGCCAGGCGTGGTGGCGTGCACCTGTAATCCCAGCTACTCGGGAGGCTGAGGCAGGAGAATTGCTTGAGCCTGGGAGGCGGAGGCTACAGTGAGCTGAGATCACACCACTGCACTCCAGCCTGGGTAACAACAATGAAACTCATCTCAAAAAGAAAAAAAAAAAAATAGCAAAGGAAAGAAAGAAAGAAGAAATGGGGTTTTGCCGTGTTGTCCGGGCTGGTGTCAGACTCCTGAGCTTGAGTGACCCACCTACCTCAGCCTGAAAACGCTGGGATTACAGGCGTGAGCCATCGTGCCCAGCTGTGAGCACTACCTTTCTGTCGCACTCACCATCCTGAGAAAAGTTAAGTTTCTGTCATTCACGCCCACATCTCCTGCCGCCCTACAGGGCCCCAGGCAGATGGGAGAGGAATAGTCAGGACCAGAACCCCCTGCCCACTCCTCCCTTACCCAGCCGCCTTGGGGACCCGGGTGTGCCAGCAACGTTCTGGGCACGGGGGGTGCAGAAAAGAACTGGATGAGGCCCCTGGCCCCAGGGAGCCCACGGCCTAAGGTAGGGGCAGAGCGTGTATATGGGCAAACAGGCAGGCTTGGTGGCGCGGCCCTCCCCAAGCCAGTGTGAGGAGCTGGGCCAGGGGAGAGGGACCGAACTCCAGCCTGGCACAGAGGTGACACGTGGGCCACGCCAGGCCGGTGCCCGAGACCTCGAGGGTGACCTGAGATGTGTGGGCCGCTGCACCTCAGCAGAGCCCAGCCAGGCAGGTCTGGAGGTGAGCCTGGCCCATGCCTCCCCACCCCAGGTGCAGCGGCCTGCAGGGCCCTGGAGGCGGACTCAGGGGATGCCCGGCGGGCCCTCCGTGCCCGAGGGGAACGTCGGAGGCACACCATCGCCAGCGGTGTGGACTGCGGCCTGGTGAGCAGGGGCTGGGGCTCCGTGGGGCTCTCCCTCTTGCCTGGAGGCTGGAGGCTGGGGTGGGAGCAGAGGGCCTTGGTCCTGGGGAAGCCCGTGGTGGGAGTCCGGTCAGCTCTGCACATCTGTCTCCCTACCTGGGCTTGAATCCCCTGGAGGGATGGCCCAGGGTCAGGCAGAGAGAGGTCAGGAGGTCGTTCAGGGCAGCTATGAGTGGCTGCCCAGCCCGCCTCACCAGATCACTGCTGCAAGCCAGCCCAGCTCACCAGCGGGGTGCTCAGCACAGTCAGGCCCTAGGAGGGCAGGCTGAGCTCAGGAGCCAGTCACCCCCGCCCAGGGAGGCCTGAGTGGAGGGGCTGGGAAAGACCAGGACTCCTCAGCAGGAGGCATGGGGCTCACACGTGCAGGGGTTCTCGGAAGTGTGCATCTGTGCCTGTGTTTGCTGTTGCGTTTGTGCTCGTAGCTCTGGGGCCCATGCACAGGCCGGCTGGTGCCTGCAGGGACGTGTACGTGCTCACGGGGGGTGGGGGGGTATACGTGCTCGGTATACGTGCCTTCGGGGACGTGTGCGTGCTCTCGGGATCTGGGCACACCATGTAAATGCACGGGCTGCAGCTGAAGCAGATGAAGGAGCTGGAGCAGGAGAAGGAGGTGCTGCTGCAGGGTCTGGAGATGATGGCGCGGGGCCGCGACTGGTACCAGCAGCAGCTGCAGCGAGTGCAGGAGCGCCAGCGCCGCCTGGGCCAGAGCAGAGCCAGCGCCGTGAGTGCCATCGCCCCGGCCCCAGGTCCCCACACACGGGACCCCAGCTAGCCCCAGGCACCCCTGTTACAGCTGCCCCATTCCAGGACACCGTGGCTGTCAGTTCCACCCAGGGAGCTGGGACATCCTTTTCCTCCCCTGGTGCTGCCCCACTCCTAGGGGCCAAGGTGCCCTGGGCACAGCTCCCACCTCAGCAACGCCCCTGGGACCCATCTAGGCTCTCAGCAGCATTGGGGGCCAGGAGAGCACCTGTGGGGACCCCCATCAAGGCACCGTGCTGGCCCTGGCTGGCCCTCCTCTCTGACCACTTGTCCTCTGCTTTCTCCCCAGGACTTTGGGGCTGCAGAGAGCCCCCGCCCACTGGGGCGGCTCCTGCCCAAGGTACAGGAGGTGGCCCGGTGCCTGGGGGAGCTGCTGGCTGCAGCCTGTGCCAGCCAGGTGAGTGTGCCCCAAACCCCCACGCCCACGCTGGGGCCCAGGCCAGGTTAATGCTCCCCGGACCTCGTCCTGGCCTGCCTAATCCTGCCTTCCTGCAGGCCCTGCCCACGTCCTCCTCCGGGCCCCCCTGCCCTGCCCTGCCGTCCAGCTCGTCCCCGGGCTGGCAGCAGCAGACCATCCTCATGCTGAAAGAGCAAAACCGACTCCTCACCCAGGTAAGGCAGCCGGGAGGGGTGTGGGTGGGGACTCTTCACCCAGGTAAGGCAGCCGGGAGGGGCATGGCGGTGGGGGTGAGGCCCCGCAGGCCTTGACCAACAGCGTACCTGCCCAGGAGGTGACGGAGAAGAGTGAGCGCATCACGCAGCTGGAGCAGGAGAAGTCGGCGCTCATTAAGCAGCTGTTCGAGGCCCGGGCCCTGAGCCAGCAGGACGGGGGGACTCTGGACTCCACCTTCATCTAGCCCGTGTGGGGCGAGCAGGCCCCGGGGCTGGCCTGGCACTCAGCCCTTCCAGGGCAGGCGCCCCGTCGCACCCACGGTCTCTGGCTGGAGACCCCGGCAGGCCCAGGCACAGTCCCCGCATGGGCGCCTTCCTGCCCGCCTTGCCATCCGGGCTCCCCAGGCCTGCCCCAGCCTGGCACTGAGCCCTTTGTTTTGGCTCCTGGCGCTGACATGGGCTGGGGCTCTCTTGAGTCTGCATAGCTCGCAGCGAGGCCTGCCGCTGCCAGTGGACCGTGGGGGACCCCTCCACGAGCCACCAGATCTCTGGCCGCTGCGTTTCCCACGGTGCCGCCCCGTCCGTCTCCGGGGAGGGGCGCTGCACTTCCGACAGCGGCCAGCAGAGGGGGCTGGCGGCTCCGATGCGGGTCCCAGGGCAGCTTCGCTCCATCAGCGTGGGCGCAGGACAGGGTGGCTGTGGCTGGGACGGAGCAATGGGGGGGTGGCGTGGCCCCTAGGCGGGGGTGCCCTCCTGGCAGGGGAGCCCCAGGGACGGCGGTCGGACTTCAGGTCCTGGCCAAGGCTGAGGGACTCTGGTTGAGCGGATCGGGGAGCCGGGCGGGCGAGAACTTGGGCTGCGTGTGTAGACCCCGGGTGTGGCCTTCCTCACCCCGGCCAGGACCCTGCCCCGCGTGGAGTCCCACAGAACACCCTGTGAGCCTGGCTCCCCAGGAGGGCCGTGTCCCCAGGAGTGGGGTCAGCCTGGGCCCCCAGACAGCTCCCAGGCACATTGCAGGCAGAGCCTGTCCCCCCCACTCAGGACTACTGAGGTCTGGGGTCCTGCTCACCCCCCTTTCCTCCCAGGCCTAGCCTGACCCCAGGTTTCAGCAGGGAGAGGCCACTTCCCTCAGCCAAGGAAAAGGAGAAGCCTCAGAGTACAGGAGGAGGCTGGGGCAGGTCCCCTTGGGTGTCACGGCCTGCCCCGGCCCAGTTCCGCGGGTGCTACGGTAGTCACTGGTGGGGGACCCAGTGCCACCAGAGCCAGGGACACGGCAACGTCATGGGCAGGTTCCGGAGCCCAGGGCCCCCAATGTGGAGTCAGGTGTGGGGGGCATAGGGACCCCGGTACAGGGTCAGTGTGTGTGGGGCGCAGGGACCCCAGTGCAGGGTCAGTGTGTGGGGCGCAGGGACCCCAGTACAGGGTCAGTGTGTGTGTGGGGCGCAGGGACCCCGGTACAGGGTCAGTGTGTGTGTGGGGCGCAGGGACCCCGGTACAGGGTCAGTGTGTGGGGGTTGCAGGGACCCCGGTGCAGGGTCAGTG